CACCTTATGGGTATGGTGCCGCCGCCACCGGCGATGCAGCCGCCTCCGCCGATCGAGGAGCCCGCAGCAAAGCGCCAGCGTGTCGACGGCGTCATCCTCATGCCCGAGAACGAGTTTGCCGAGGCATACCCGGTACGCCGTCGTCCTGAATGGAAGACGAACGATGATGATGATACGTTTGTGCGTAGGCGCCGATTCGCCTCCACGTGCAAGTCGCGAATGAGCCCGAGAACCCGAATGGCTGGTCCCTCCACGGCCAAGTGCTCACGCTTGAGGTCGACATTCGCGCCAGCGTGCGCGAGCTCAAGCAGTTTGTCTTTGTACGTCTGCTCATCTTGTCGCCGTCGTCTGATTTTCGCGATTAGGAGCACACCAAGATGCCAATTGCCAAGCAGCAGGTCAAGGCGCCGATCGTCGGCTTCCTCAAGGACTCGCTCAGCTTTGCCCACTACAACATGTACACGGACCTCGTCCTCGAGCTCAGCGCGCGGCAGCGTGGCGGGCGTCGCTAAAGTGTGCCAACGCATTCTTTTTCTATTTCTTTTGTTTCTTTTATGCTTTTTTTGTTTCTTTTATGATGTCTTTTAATATCTTCTTGGCGCGATCCGGCGTTATCCGGATAAAAGGACTTGGTCGAGCCGCAGCAATGGTGAGCTGCGGTCGCGTCGGGCCGGCCTCCTGATGCGTGCGCTGCGTAGAGCGAGAGCGACATGGTGAGCAACCGCATGTCGGAGAAGATGCTTCTCGGCTGGGCCCTCCTCGCCGAGACGTGCCCCGTTGACGAGTGCTACACGCCCTTGATGAGCACGAAGAAGCAAGCGCACAAGGTCTACTGCGTCAAGTGCGAGCGCTGGTTCAGCACCGAGCTTGCGGCCAAGAGCGAGTCGCCCAAGGCGCCAGAGCCCAAGGTCGAGGCTGCCAAGGTCGAGGCGCCGTGGCAGGAGTCCGAAGCCGAAGCGGCGGCCTACCGCGAAAAGAAGAAGAAACGCGACGCGGCCAGCGCCAAGATGGGCGAAAAGATGCTGCAGGTAGCACTACGGCATGCCGGGCAGTTGTCTCGAGTCGAAGCGCTGTAGGGCTGGACGCTCCTCGGCTTGCATTGCCCCGTGCCCGAATGCTTGATGCCATTGATGCGCAGCCGCGAAGGCCAGGTTCGCCGCCAATCCGTGCATCTACCTCCAAATGACCACGTGCATTAGATGTACTGCGTCAACTGCGAGCAGTATGTGATGACCGAAGAAGAGATGGCGGCGCACACCAAGACTACGACAGAGCAGGCGGCGGTCTCGGAGGCTTCGTCGGCGGTGCCAAGCCCGGTTGCAGCGCCAAAGCACGCGCCGCCCCCGCCGCCAACGTCGCCGCGTACGTTCAGACTTTGAGAAACTCGCGATCGAATGGCCATGGGATCATCTAGTGGCCAAGCGGCGCGCGCTCTCGGTGCCCAACGAGTTTGACTTTGCAGCGATGAACCGCATGGCGATCGACGTACTGTACGAGGTACATGACGCACGTTTCGAGGCAAGCGCCATCACCTTCTTGCCGCATAGAAAATGGACACGGCGCTCGGTCAGCTCGAAGCGGCGACCAAGCCCAAGGACGCGGCCGAGATCGCCAAGCTGGTGCGGGAGCTGGCCAAGGCCATCAAGGCCCTCCAGTCGCTCGGCGACGACGCGTAGAGGTCCATTGTGCTCCCTGCCGAGCGATAGATACCAGCATCAATAGAGCAACAGCCAAAGCTTCGATACATGCCAACGCGATCAGTCTTTGGCGCTCGCAGCTTGGACGTTGGACGTGGTGTCTTCTCTACCCAAGCACCCATCGCGCAGGAGCTATGACGACGACTTGACATCGATTTGGAGCTATCTAGTCTACTGTACTCGACGCCAACCTCAGTGCCGTCCACAACCACCTCGGGACTTCAGCGCACAAGTGCGCCGTCTCGTTAGCGCGAGTTGATCGAGGCAGTGGTGGTCTCATCGACGCGAGCAATAGCCTGCGTCTTCGTCAGGCAGTGTAACATTGGACACTGCCTTCCTCTTGCAAGCTCAGTTCTACCAAGCGTCCATAACGATGACGAGAATGTGTGAATCATTTTTACTCACCCTCGGCAGCTACATATGTCCATGGGTCTCGTACACCAGTTTGCATGGCGAGAGTAAAATCTTACTGCTCTTCCCATAACGTATGGTCACCGACGTCGTAGCCGGAGGCCCAAGCGTCTGCAAGTATTATAGCGCAGTACCTTCTTGGACCCGCGGCACCTCGTGGAGCAGTGGCGTCCATTCAAGGCCGCCGACTTCGTGCAAATGCCGCAGCATGTCGAGGTGGTCGTAGGACGCTGCTCGGATCATCGTGCGCTCCGAGACCCAAAGTGGCAGCGTCGTGGGTGTCGGAAAAGCCTCCTGCACAAACTGCGTGCGGTGGCCACGAGCAGCCTGGACAACGCAATGTCGCTGCTGCCCGAACCCAGTTGCCAGCAGCGGCGCGAGTGGACGTAGGCGGCGATGTTGACGTGCGTCTTCAAAATCGCATCTGCGGTCGATCGGTGGCTGCAGCGTCGATCCAACCCCTCGTGCAGGTGGCGCACGATGTGCCAATGCCCACTTTTCACAGCGCCGTCCATTGCGCTTGGTGGCACCTCGTAGCCACGAGCGACGAGCAGCTCCGGGATCTCGAGGTAGCCTTGACTGGAGACGACTGAGCTACATCTCGCCGTGTACCCGTGTTCGGGCTTCACGACACCAACGCAAACGCTCGAGGTCGCCCGACATGGCGACGAGGTCCATCACCTTGGGCGTGGTCAGCACTGGAGACTTGATCAAAGAATCCCATCGCAGTTAGCGCTGAGCGAGCGCCACGTCGCCTTCGACAACCGAGAGATGGAGCGCGAGGGCGCGGCGAGACAAAGAGCGCGTGGTGAGGCAGCTTGGTCGTGGCATGCGGGCACGGCAGCAACGCGAACCGGGCTGGGACGTGGGCGTTTGATCTCCGTTTGTAAACGGCGAGCACGGCGTGAGCTCGACGCACGAGCGCCCGCGAGCTCGCGACGACCAAGTCCAATTCCGGGTGGCCGCCGAGGACGCGAATGAGCTCGCGGCCAACGTAGCCACGCGCGCCCATGAGCCCAACCTTCTTCTTCTTTCCGCTGCAAAAGTGCAGCGGCGCGTCGACGTGATCGCCGCCGCCGGCCGAGTGCCCCGACACGATTTCGTTGGCGAGCGCGGCCGCGGACGTGAGCACGACCGACGACGTGGACGGCAGCGCCTGCAGCAGCGTGTTGATCTCGTTGAGCTTGAGCAAGGTGCCTTGGCGCCCCGTGTAGTCGCGCGCCGCCATGGTCGCATAGTCCGTGCTCATGTCCAGTTTGGGTACTTTGACGCCGTCTTCGAGCCAGCCGCCCTTGGCGTTGACGAAGATCGTCTTGTGCGGCTGCAGCGTGATCACGAGCTCGCGCGCTGCGACGTCGGCGTTGATGTTGAGCAGCTGCCCGGTTTTGGACTCGCCGAGGCAGGAAAGGACGGGGATCTGGCCCGCGTCGACGATTGAGCTGTGCTTTTGTCCGCGGTCCTTTCTTCCGGGTTACACGTAGAGACCGCTTGGAGGGCCA